CCCCCGTTCCTACCACCGCGGGATCTGTACCGCCTGGAACGAACTCCGCTCTCGGAGGCCTCTACCAGTGGAGGCCAGTCCACGAGAAACCTTCCACGAGAAGCCCAACCTTGAGACCCCAGGCCGTCCACTGATCTGTGGTGTGGGAACGTCGCGCTGTCCATAGCAAAACCATCGAGACCCAAGACACCCTGGGCACCCTGGAGGCAAGCGGGGTGTTTCTTGCCGATCAGCCATCACCGGAGGAGCTGTGGTCCTTGCCCCCCTGGGGGAACCCATCGCATCGACGATCTCTCGAGAGGGGTGTCGAAATCTATGGGTCCCCCAGGGGGGTACGGACCACAGCTGCCCCAGTTGTGGCTGGCCTGTCTTGGCATGGGCCTCCACTGTAGGAGGGGGTCGGCCCCCCCCCCTCCTCGGGGCTTCGTGAGCGGCGCGGGCATTACTCCCCGCGGGCCCCAGGGGCCCTCTGGGCCGGAAGCGGGACCCAGAGTTAGGTCGGGCGTGTCCTTCTACAGATGGATCTCGGACGAAAAATTACAAATAGTATTAAGAAACACCAAAATGGTCACAAAAAAAACTTAAACAAATCGCCCCCCAGACTATTCGGGACTAATTTTGAACTCTCCTCCTGTAGAGGGACGCGCCCGGCTGAACCCACCCCGGAGAGCTTTCAGCCCGGAGCGCCCGCGTGGGAGGCGCCGCTGCGTGTGCGCGGCGCAGCCCTGGCGTGATGGCCCGCGGCGGGCTCCTGTCACGTCGGGGGGGTGGGCGGGGGGGCGACCGCCTCGCGGGGCCCTCCTGCGCACCTCTCGGAAGCGCCCTGCCGCACGGCGAACGCAACGGACGCGACGAGAACGTTGACGGCGACGACGACGACGACGACGACGCGGCATGAGGCTCCTTGAACGACTCGAGGAGCGCGGCGCTCTCGCCGTCGAACTCGCGCATGGAGATGAAGCCGGACAGGTCGTCGTCCAGGTAGCACCTCTCCCACTCGAGGAGGGATGATCGGATGAAGGCGCGGCGTTGAGGCACTTTACAGTCTGCGGGCGCCAGGGTGTGGGAGAGCGTCAGGCGCCGGTCAAAGCGAGCGGTGGGCTGCACCGGAGGCGAAGACAGGCACGAAAATGCGCACGCACGAAGCCGGACACGTCATTGTCCAGGTAGCACCTCTTGGGGGCGCGCCCGGGGGGGAAGTTTCGAGAGTTTCGGGTTCGAGGGTCGAGGTTTTCGGGCGTCGTCGTCGGTTCGCGGCGGTTTTCTAGCCTCGGGATGCGTTCCAGCAGCAGCGCCGCGCCGAGGGTTTTCGGGGGGTGCCCAGATCGCCCCGAACGGCCGCCAGATAGCCGAGTTGTGACCGAAAAACAACCAGGCGTCCGAGAAGCGGCAGGCACTCTCAGAAGGCTTGGAGGCCCCCCGGCCTTCTGAGACATGCTCTAAGCCTTCCGCGAAGACACAGAACACTTCTCGGAATGCCGGAGGGCTTCTGAGAAGCCTCGGCGACTTCTGAGAAGGCCTCCTCCTTCGCACTTCCTCCCCTCGCTCGCCGCCGAAGCCCTCCCACTCGAGGAGGGATGATCGGAGGATGGCGCGTTGAGACACGCACGCACGCACGAAGCCGGGCATGCAGAAAAGAGGTGCACAGTCGCGCACTTCCCCCGTAAGCGAGGTCAGGACAAAGAAAATCATACTCCGAAGTAAATCGCCAAATCTCTGCGAGCTAGCGGGTTGAGAGGATGCGTCGGGCGCCGCGGCTGTTCCAGAGGACTCCAGAGCGATCGGAGAGCGTCCTGGTGCTGTTTGAGACGAATCATGTGTTCCTGGACATGCCTGACCCCCGACCGCAGCCGGCCCCCCCGGCCAGAAGGAGAAAGAGGAGGAGAAGACGATAAAACGCAACGACGCGTGTTTGCCTCGGAGCTGCAGACACGCGTGGGACTTGGAATGGATTCGCGTCAGCAGACCCCCCATCACGCTCATTCCGATTGGTTTAATGGGGCAGAACAGAAAACACCTCCCTTTTGCTCCCCCCCCTGCCCCGCGGGCGTGAAGAAAGAGGGACCCTGAGGGAAACGGGAAACGGCACCCCAGGCCGTTCCCCATGGGCCCACGCTTCATGCTGAGTCGTTTTCGACTGCCCCAGGGCTCAGGAAGGGCCCTAAGTAGAGAACGACAGCGGCGACCATTTTCTACGGCTGCCCGCAAGAGTTACCCTAGGCGCACCCTTGTTGTGCGGCTACAGTGCGCTGGCGGGCCGCGGCGAGGCAAGGCGAGGCGAGCGCGCAGTATCGCCAGGAGCAGGGCCATTGGAGGCCTGCGCGGGGGAAGGGGGGGGGGGGGGGCGAGCCCCCAGTTCGTGCTGTCCGTGTCGTGGCATCCCGTCGCATACTTGATAAAGTGAACCAAGCATGGGGCCAAGCGGGAGGGGGGCCGAGGGCAAATCCAGGCGAGCAAGCTGGTGCTGAGGGGCCCCTCAGTGACCACTGTGACGCAGGACCCGCAGAAGCGACCTTCCTTCAGGACCCCTCTTCGTGGCAACACGGCGCAGTCGCTGAGGGAGGGGGGGTAGCCAGCCGACCCAAGGGCTGAAGTGCTTTTGCTCGAGCGCACCTGCTGACAAGCAGTACCATCTCTGAAGCCGAGTGCAGCAGAGACCCGTGGCGCAATCAGCAGCAGGCCGTCTTTCGAGTGCAGCAGAGACCCGTGGCGCAAGCAGCAGCAGGTCGTCCTTAGCTTCGGCGGCAGATGGCACCACCTGTGGCGCAACCGGCCGCAGGGGTCGCCTCCGGCCTGCTGGCCCCGCTCCAGGTCCCCGCGGCTATGAGGGGGGGCGCGGCCCCCCTCTGTGAAGAAGACAGATCCTGTCTGCACAGATAAGGGGACGAGCCATCACATAGGCCGCGCTCCCCAAAGATCACAAGACGACCTCCATCCATCCCTCCTCGGGGATCTTCTGACCCGGGTCGATCCCAACCCCGGCCAGTCGGGCCTTGCAGGATGCTGCAAGACCCTGCAGGATCCTATACCCAAGCCCGGGTTACTGCAACCCTGGCCCTGCTGGATCCTTCAAGATCCGGAGCTCTGACGGACCTCCGTTTGCATGGACCCCCGTCTCTTGAGCCCCGACCTCCCTTCCTCGCGCCTCGGCCTTGGGGCACAGCGACGGCTGCCCAAACCTCCTCCTCCTCCTCCTCCTCCTCCTCCTCCTCCTTCCCCCTCCCCCTTCCTCCTCCTCCTCCTCCTCCTCCTCCTCCCCCTCCTCCTCCTCCTCCCCCTCCTCCTCCTCCTCCTGCCCTTGGGGGGCCCCCTGGGCTTCGGGGCCGCGCCCCGCCGCGGCCGGGGCCCGCCCAGCAGCGGGGCGCCCGCCCTCGCAGGCCAGGCCTGGCCCCCAAGAGAGAGGGGGAGGAGGACCCAGACGTGCGGCGCCCTGGCTCCGTCCACGCGCGGTCCCTGGGAGCTCCGGCCCCTTTCCCCCAGGTCGGCGCCCCGTCCCGAGTCGTTGCGTGTCGGCCCAGAGGCCCAGCAAGGGCCCCCCCCCCGCGGCGGAGAAAACTCTGAGAAGGGCCCTCCGCCCTGAGTCCTTTCTGGACGCGAGCGTGTCTGCTGGGGAGGGGGGGGGGAGGAGAACAGGGGGCTCCCTCCCTCCTCCCCCCTCCCTCCCTCCCCCCCTCCCTCACTCCTCGAACCTCGGGGAGGAAGAGCCGCCGCTCTCCCCAGAGAGGCGCGCGGGGCAGTCGGCGAAGGGCGCGGGAGAGGAGAGGGCGCGAACCAGGCCCCCGCGACGTCGCCGTCGAAGCCAATCTCCTCGCAGGCGTCGCAGAACTCGGGCCAGGAGAGGCGGTTGGAGTTGTCCTTCGCGGGGACTGAAGAGGGGGGTGGGCCTCTGGTTCTGGTGTCCACACCCGCAGCTGCGTGTACCTCCCCTGTAAGAGTGGTTTTGTTCATAGACTGATCTGCCTCCGAGAACGTATCTTTTGAGGGCAGATCTGCCTTCAAACATACATTCTCATTGAAGGACGATCTGCCTTCAAAATATACATTCTCCCCGGTGGAGTACTCCCCTCCCCCCGGTGGCATACGTTCTCCCCGGTGGCGTACTCCCCCTCCCCCCTGTGGTGTCGCCCCCCCAGTGGCGCACCCCCCTCCCTTCCCCCATCACCACCAGCGGTGCACCCACGCCTCCAGCGGTGGACCACTCCCAGTGGTGCACCCCTGGGCGGGCAGGCAGATTGGATCGAGGCTTCTGGAGCGTCGCGTCGTCGCCGTCAGGCGTTCGAGCGTCGAGGTTCGAAGATCGACGCGTATCCGACGTCGTCAAGCGTCAAGCGTCGAGGTTCGAGGATCGAGGATCGGGTTGTTGGACCGACTTGGACAATAATTTCCAGAGATCTCCGATCCTCAATCCTCGAATGACGGCGGTTGGAGTTCTCGCGGGGTGGGGTCCTCGGATGGAAGCTTTCGGACGTCTTCGACCACCAGTCCTCCATGCTCGACGCTTCGATCCACGAGCCTCACTCACCTAGACTCTGGAGATCCGAAAATTGCCACCACGTCAAAAAACCTCCATCCTCGAACATCGACGCTCGACGATCGACGCTCGTCGACGACGACGACGACGACGACGACGACGACGACGACGACGACGACGACGACGACGACGACGACGGCGGCGGCGGCGGCGACGGCGGCCACGACGATGATGATGATGACGGCGGCGGCGGCGCGGAGACCACGACGACGCCTCGATCCTCAACCCTCGGACCTCGATCATCGAACCTTAGCACCCGACGACAACTACGACGACGGCAGCAGCAACAACAACAACAACAACGACGACGACGACGACGACGACAACAACAACAACGACGACGACGACGACGACGACGACGACGACAACAACAACAACAACGACGACGACGACGACCACCACCACGACCACGATGACCACGACAATGACAACCAATGGCCGATGACGGCGGCGGCCAAAGTGAGGCCGCCCGCAAGCGCCCGACCACGCGCGAGTGCTCGCCGCAAGCGTCGCCGCCGCCATCGTCCCGCCACGCGAAGCCTTCAGTCAAAGAGTCCCGTGGTGCTGAAGCCCCTGCTTCCGATGACTGGCACGCCATCGAGCCAGGCCTCCTTGTGGCTCGAGGGGTATGTCAGGGTGATGGAGCCGAACAATCTGACACCATCCCTGGGTGCTTGCCCGAAGTGGGTTTCCGCGATGAGGATTCCTGTTGTTGCGTGGTGGTTGCTGCTTGTCGTGCGTTGCCCGCCCGCGACCCATCGGCAACCGGCTCGCGACCCGCCTGCAACCCACACGCGACGCACCCGCGACCCGCCCGCGACCAACCAGCGACCCACCTGCGAACCACCCACACTGCCTTGACTAAACTTATGAGGCCGCAACAGGCTCAGTGTAAGATGCAGAGAATCGGTGCGTGCGGCAGGCTTCTTCAGAGCCTCGTAGCCTGGCGACGACCCCGTCGCCCCCTCGTTCCAATCTGCATCAGCGAGGGGTACGCTTTTTGTCCTGACCAAAGGAGGACGAGGAGGAGGAGAAGGATGGGGGAGGGGGAGGAGGAGGAGGAGGAGGAGGAGGGGGAGGAGGAGGAGGAGGAGGAGGAGGAGGAGGAGGAGGAGAGAGACGGAGGAGGAGGAGGAGGAGAAGGAGGAGGAGCAGGAGGAGGAGGAGGAGGGGAAGGACGATGAGAAGGAGGAGGAGCAGGAGCAGGAGGAGGAGGAAGAGCAGAAGCAGGAGGAGGAAGAGCAGAAGGAGGAGGAGGAGGAGGAGGAGGAGGAGGAGAAGAGGGAGGAACAGGAGGACGAGGAGGAACACCAGTGTAAAACCAGGCGTCATCAACGATGTTGGAATCAACCCTCCCTCCAAGCTCCCTTCTCATAGGCCCCAACTGCGGTGTTTTCCATTGTTGGAACTGCCTCGTTGGAGGATAAATGTTTAAACATCCTGAAACATGCCAAAACATTGGTTTCAACATTTCAACGCCACGTATCTTTGGACGCCCGAAATGGGTACGGAAAGAATGGGTAATATGCCCAAGAACAAATGTTGTCCCAAACCAACAGCAGCCGCTGTTGGGCAGGCGGCCTTCTGTCTCGAATGGACACAGGCCGCGGCGGCGCGGACAGCGAGGCCTGTTGAAAATGAGCAAGAACTGCTGTTGGGCATCGTACCCATTATTTCCGTGCCCATCTCGTTCGTGCAGAGTATCAACCTGAGTGTTGCGTCTCGACGATCCGGAACCGTGCCAAAACACCAGTTGGGGGGACTTCAACACCGCGAATCAACATGACTGTTGCACGCGCGAAACCATGAATCTTTCCAAACTCCTTTTTTGGTACGCTGATCGTGAGAATCCTTGAAACTCTTGCAAGCTTTGAAAACGAATGTGCGCGGCGCTGAGGCGAAAACCACATTTTGTAAACCACCGGCCCTCAATCCGCGAAGCTCTTGCACATGTTTAAAGCGAATGGCGCGGCGCTGAAGCGATAACCACATTTTGAAAACCACCCGCCTTCAATCCGTGAAACTCTTACAAATGTTTCAAAACGAATGTGCGCGGCGCCAAAGCGAGAGCCACATTTTGAAAACTTCCCGCCCTCAATCCGTGAAGCTCTTGCTAATTGTGAAAACGAATGTGCGCGGCGCTGAGGCGAGAGCCACATTTTGAAAACGACCCGCCCTCCATCTGTGAAGCTGCTATCACTTCTTAAGCCTCCGAATCAGAAGCGAGGAGTTCTCAGGCGAAGCGCCCGGCCCGCCTTAAAATTTGTTTCGGGGTGCGACAGGGAGGAGTTATCCATAAGGAGAAGAAATGGCGGAGGAAGAGGAAGAGAAGGAGGAGGAAGGGGAGGAGGAGGGGGAAGAGGAGGGGGAGGAGGAAGAGGAGGAAGAGGAGGATTGGATTGGATTGGAGTTCCTGGAATCCTGTCATAACAAGTTGCCAGCTTGATTGTGTCAGTGACAAGTTTCCAGTCTAACCCTCGAGGGTTCTGAGACAGCTACTGCGCAGCTCACCGTGAGTCATTGCGCAGTCCTCCGCCGCACTGCGCACCAGGGCAGCACTGGCCAGGCCCGCGCCCAGGCCAGCACGCAGCAGGCTCTACGAGGCGGGCCAAAGTGCTCCCAAGCCGCCCCCGCCACCGCCCACTCCCACGACCTCGACCCCGCCCCCCTCCCTCTGGCGGCGGAGGCAAACAAAATACTGGCGCGTAAGGAAGATTCTCATGCGCATACGTGGGAATGCTGTTATGTAAGAGCCCAAGCGCATCAGGCGAAACAGAACCCCTCTCAATCAGTTGCTGGAGTCTCTCAGATCGGCCCAGTGCCTCACTCATTTCATGTCGTCTAAGAGTTTGCTGATCTCTCTCTCTCTCTCTCTCTCTCTCTCTCTCTCTCTCTCTCTCTCTCTCTCTCTCTCTCTAGTGGCCCCCGCGGGGCCGGCCCAGGAAGAAACTGCCCGCCCCCTTAGATCGCGAGGTAATCCATGCTCTGCATGATCTGGCGGCCCACGGGGGCGGGGCCGTCGGTGAAGAAGCACATCAGGAGCGTGGCCTTCGGCGGCTTGCCCTCGACCTTCTCCTGAGCCTTGATGCGGAAGTAGGGGGCCTGACGCGAGACCTCCTGGATCGTGAACGACTTGACCTTCTCGTTCCAGATCGCGGCCCACTCCTTCTTGTTGGCCACTCCCGACGCCTTGTTTGTCCTCGCCAGCCGACGTCGCGCGCCTCGCGCCGTGCGTCGCCGCCGACGCGAACGCCTGGACGCGAGGTGGGCCTCTGGCCTTAAACCCCGCCTCCCTGCCCCCCTGCTTATCTTTGCGGAGGCGCTTGCTCTCGTTGTCGTAGCCTTTGCCCGTCTTGATGAGAGCGGATGCCAAGCCTCCGTCTGCTGGAAGCTCGCGCCGCAGGAGGGCCGCCGACATGAGCTCCGCCACCCCTCGCGTCATGGTCAGGAGCAACATTGCGACCGACTTCAGGAGGTGCCTGTCCTGGTTGCCCGTCTCCGTCGTTTTGCGACCCTTGCCCCTCGGCCGCCACCTCGAGCTGGCGGTTGCGCGTGCTGAACCACAGTGGCACCTCCATCTCCTGGTCCGCCGCGGACGCCGCCCCCGTCGCCATCTGCGCCTGTTCGTCGAATAGGACGAAGCGCCTCGATCTCAACTGGCACGCGTGAGCAGAGGTGAGAGCGCAAATCTTTCAGGCTTGAAACCTCGAAATGACATACAGGGCAGTCCAGAGACTTCGGACAAGCTGCCCTCGTCTTGAACGTCGAGGGGCCTCGCGTCTGACAGTGGCCCCTCTCCGTGGACCCCCGGGGGCGTCGAACGGCATTGTTGGTCGTCGCAAGTGCACGCCCACAAGATATGCAGACGTTGGAGGGCGAGAGAACGCAGGCCAGGTTGCGCATCCGACGCGCCCGTCGCACACGGCCCTAACGGCGAGACGAACCAGATTTCCGTACATTCACAGCCGTCCTCCTTGATCATGCCGCAGACGAAGTCGCGAGGGTCCGTCTCTCGGGGGTCAGGCCAGTTCTCATCGGGGCCCCTCTGCGCTTCAAACCCTGGCTGCGGGATCGCAACCGACAAGCAGCGGGCTCTTATCTGGGTCGCGCTCACCGCGCGAAACTCTGACATCACCTCCTCGGCCCTGAAAAGCCTGAGGTCCCCCGACAGGTGCCCCGCGACCGAGCCCACCAAGTATTTCAAGGCGGAACCCAAATCAGTTTTGACCTGCTCGACCCATGGCAACGGCAACTGCGCAGGGAGGCCTCCAGGCAATTGGGGCCGGGAAGGATCGATGAGCATATCTCCAAACAGCAAGTATAAGACTTGCGCGTGGTTCCGAAATTCATTGGCCCACCCCTGATAAGGCCGAAGTCGTCTGATCAACAGGTCCGTGCTCCTCGGCGCGACTTTCCAATGCTGTGGAATACTGGCCATATTCATGCTACGTATCTTGGGAGAACAAAAAGCCGACACCAGCACCAAGAAAGTATTTGTTTCACGAAATGTCGAATTGCGTTTTGGACCAGCGCGAGCCCGCCCTGGCCTGAGGAATCGCAGAGTGGGCGAGGAGGACGGGGGAAGGGAGACGTCGCGCAGCACGCAGGAGGGAAAGCAGGAAATAACAAGCGCAAGCGAGAAGCGAAACTAGCGGGCGCTCTCGGGAGAAGAGGGAGAGAAGAGGGAAGGCTGCGGCATCCCCCATGGCTGAAGCTTCACTCCCCCCACCGCCGCCCTCCACCACGCCTGCCCCCGCCCGCCCGCCCCCCTCTCATTCCCCCCACCCCTCACCCACCCTACGTCCGCCCGCGTCGCATCCCTGACCCTCGTCTGGCCCGACACCAAGGCCCGACGAGTTCGAATCCGCCGCTCTCTGCGAAAGGGGGGCGGTGGCCGCCCGTCGCGACCTGGGCATAAGACCGTGGCCCCCTCTTGACCCAAGCGCAGCCCGTGGCAACCTTCCGAAATCGTCGAGGGGTTCAGCTCGCACATGGGGCCGCCGTTCCAGTGGGGGTCTCGGTGCTGGCGTCGGCTTTTTGATGTTGCAGGGAACAGAAAGCCGGCACCAGCACCAAGACGCCGCTGGAAAAGTTCGGAGCGCTTTCCCTGTGGGGGCTGAGCGACCCAACGAAGCCAAGAAAGCTTGAGATGGCTCGCGTTGCTCTCCGACGTTGCAAGCCACGGTGCTTCCATGATAGGGAAACGCCCCATGCAGCTCATGGCGCCCCTGAGGCCCACGGGGCTCCCATGGCCCGCGGGGTTTCCAAGGCTCAGAAACCAGATGTGGCCCTGACGACGAGTCAGGGAGCCAATGGTGCCCGCGCGGCATGCTGGGCCAGCGCGGCGCGTTGGGCTTATGCGCGCTGCGGCGCACGTTCGGCCCATGAAGCCCTTTGTGGAACTTGTGGGGTTCATGGGGCTGGCTGGGTTCGCACGGCCCGCGGGACTCGCGCGGCCCATGGAAATCCCAACGCTCACTTGGGGAACTGGAGACGGCCCGTTATGTTCCCGCGCGCTCAGAGCTGACATTCATCAACTCTGGACACGCGAACCCGAAGACACGGGCGACGGCATTCAACAGAGGCTGCAATGTTTTCTTTTCTAGTGGCTTCTTGGTGTTGGTGTTGGGTTCCTGTGCGCCGATATCTTGTCATCCTCCCTCGCGCAAGCCTTCCCCATCATCGCAATCCTCCCCGTCGCCGCTAGACCTCAATCAAGCCGGTCACGATCCGACGGAGAGAGGGCAAATGCTTCCAGGCCGCTCAAGGTCGCGTTCTGGGCAAATCCTACTAGCAATAGCCTCTGAAAGCGGTGTGGCACGGGTAGCGACCGTAATCCTCCTAGACTGTGGAAGGATGCCCTGGCTGCCTGGATGCGTCTAGTGACCTCATGTGATGCAGATACTCTCGAAACAATATGGGTTTCGAGATATCGCGCCGAGTCACGCGGTCGCCCCGAAAGCAAGGGACGAATATCACGCAACATCTTACGGCAACGGTGCCCTCTCGTACTGAAGAAGAAACAAATACTCCTGCTTTTCCGTGCCCTGGCCATATCCATACCCGAAGCTTCTCTAGCATGCCTTCAAGATCATCAGCATACTGAAGTAATGACAAATCGGCTCTTAGCTCTCCCCGCGATGCAACGAAATCCTTCGCGCGCAAGTCTCCCTCCACAGAGTCGCGCCCCCAGGCCAAAACGGGTCGAGTAAAGGCGGCAAAAAATATCGAAACGACGAAAGGGCCCCCCCATCGCCCCGCCTTGATGTGGCCTGACCAGAAATCACCTGAGGGAGCGATAGTGCAATAACAGAAACATGGTAGCGTCGTTTACAGACTGCAACATTATGTTCGTGGCAGTGTAAGTCAACAGCATCGTCCATAGCTTCATTGGTAGTGCCAGCGAAAGCGTTAGACATGTCCTTGAAGCGTGCGCAGTAATTTCGGGACACCGCCCTCAATCCCCAAATAGTGTCCATCGGGATCATCACCGCCTCCCCCCTCCTCCGGCCAGCTACGAACTCATGATCCTGTAGTGTAGGGCGAGGCGTCAGGTTGCGAGCATAGTACCCCTTCCCAATCACGGGCAAGACGCGGCTTACCCTCTTACCCAGTGGACCCGCAGCACGTGACTTATGAAGGGCAACCGCTTGGCTTCGATGCCAATAGAAAAGCGTTAGATTGTGCCGACGCACCTTCTGCAACCGCACGCTAAGTAGAAAGCGCAGCACTTAATTGCAAGGTGGAGATCCTTCCAGACCCAAGCCGAAACGCTGCTGCACACGCCATTTAGGGAATAAAGCCATGTACCACAATTCCAATGGGGCGGCATTATCAGGGACAAGCTGCCTCTTCGGGGCGTCGATCATGCACTTGCGAATCTCTTCAAGTTCGGAGGCCGCTAACTCGATCAAGTTCGAATCAGTGCAGTCGTAGTCGTAGTCGTAGCTAGGCCCCTCCCGCTCAAGTCTCCAGTGCCCCCAGCAAACCTCTTCGACCCGCATCAGGACGTTTCCATATCTCAAGCCACTCGGTCGAGTTCGGGAGAGCACCACTCGCAGGACGGGCGCCCCGTCTTTCGGGTCCAAACCTGCATCGGGCGGCCCGCCTTTAGACGAACATCGCCTCTTCGCCCCTCTGCCGACTCCAGTATTCCGTGGCTTCCTCAATCAAACGCGCCCGCTGCTGACGCAGATGCTGTCGTCTTTCCCACTGAAGAATCGGTGGGAGTTTGCCGCAACTCCTCCTCCACCTGCTGCACTACCTCCTCCAGTTCATCCAACAACTGTCCTCGAAGCTAGACCCGACGACGCGAAAGATCCCGACGACGCCAACAGTCTTCCCCGCGTTCAGGCCGTGTACACTTGCCCCGAGTGAAATGTTTTTCCCCCGCCGCCACCAGCGCCCCTTAAAGGAATTCGAAAATCGCATCTGGAGGTGCATTACCGCGCAGATAAACAACACCAGCTCCCGACATCACTGTGTTTAAGTCCCGAATGTAATCCCACCTCTGCTTCCGATTCCTTAGGCTACCCATCATAGTCGCATGATTCCATCTTCTGCGCTCATCAGGAAAACGCTGTAGTCCACCCTTGTCACATGTGAGGCACACCGGCACGGGAAGGTGGTCTGTCTCTAGGTGGGGAACCTCGCATAGGCTGCAGTTTAGCGCGAAGTCGACGAAGTGGGTGGAACAATATATACTAAACCCTGGGGGATGCATACGTAGCCTATGCGGCCCATGCTGCTGCTGCCAAAGAAATTGTGCTCGATACGATGACTAATATTAGCTGCAAACATACAGTGTTCTCAGAAGCCCCCGAACACACTCACCAGCTCCCCCAGGAACCTTCTCCAAGGTAGATGTTTCAAAACCACTACTGGGAATCCCCTGAAAAGACCCATTCGCCATCTTCCCCCCCAGGCCGTCGTTGACGTCCGCGTGCAATACTGGAACACACCGTACAGGAAGACTACTCAGAACCGAGTCAAGCCAGGTGTTCAATATCTCGACGGTTTTGTGGTATCCCTAACGTTTCTGATTCGGGGACTTAGATGGAAGAGGTGGATAAGACATGCAGATGGCACATATATTAGCTGGTCCACTTTTCCATCGAATCGCCAGGGCCTACCAAGGGCCAAATCAAGGCTGCTCCAAATCGATCGAACATCTTCAGCCCGAAAGTGCCGGCCTAAAGAGATCAGGACCCCGCAGCTGTTGTTAGAGCACGGAGCCTCACAATAAGGAGCCTCGAAGAACAACTTCCCAACGACCCGCCGCTGCAGTGCCTGGGCGCCGCGAAAGAGGGTGTTGGCCTTCGTCCCTCCCATCATGACAATGTCATAGTTGCGGGTCTCATACAGGATTTTCTCCAGACGATCCCCCGTCAAACACATGGGGTTGTAGCCCAAGACTCGCAGGAACGACTCGGACATGAGTCCCCACCAGAGGAAGACTCTCGCTGAGGGCATGAAGGTGAGGAAGAAACCTGGTGTCCGTGAGTTGCCTACCAAGCCCAAACATTGTCCTTGAACCACTCTGGGCTTGGAGGCGGAGGATGAGGAGGAGGAGGAGGGAGGAGGAAGACGAGGAGGAGGAGGAGGAGGAGGAGGAGGAAGACGAGGAGGAGGAGGAGGAGGAGGAGCAGGACGAGGAGAAGGAGGGGAGGAGGGGGAGGACGGGTCGCCTAAGCCCTTCGGAGAAACCTTCTCATCCACAGATGCCTGGGTGCAGAAGCGGCCGCGGGCGCGCGAGGGTGGCGCGCAAAAAGCACGCGTTGTGCGCAGGAGGGGACGGGTGGCGGCCTTCCAGGATGGGGTCCGAGCGGGCGGGGTTGGAGGGTCGCGCCGCGTCCCCGATGCATCGCTGGTGCGCTGACGATGCATCGGCGACGTCGGCGACGCATCGGCGACGTCAGGGTGGAGAGATGTCGTGCTCCACATCGCGCCGCATTGCCGATGTCTCGGCGATGCGGCGCGACCCTCCGACCCCATCCACTCGGACCCCATCTGGGAGGCCCAGAAAAAAGCTGGGAGCCCCTGACGAAAACTATTCCTGACTGGCGGGCGCAAGAATGGTCAGACGCTGGTCGAGCGACGGGAGGGACACTCTGGTAGCGACTTGAGTGTTAAAGTAAGCGGGCAGAGCGGAAAGGGGAACACTTGACGACAACACTGGGGTGAGGCTGCTTGCGGGCCGCCCCCCTTCGCTCCTTGTCCATGAGTCCCCGCCACGCTTTCAACAGGACGCCGTCGAAGCGCCGGATCAGTTCCGCACGCAGATCCTGCCGTCGTCGGCGTCGTTCTCGTCGTCATCGGGGTGTGGGTAGAAGAAAAGAGAAGAGAAGAGAAGAGAAGAGAAGAGAAGAGAAGAGAAGAGAAGAGAAGAAACGATAATCTCACCAATTATAACAGCCGGTAGTCTCATATAAGACAACTAACGGGATATGATAATTACAGAGATGCTACTTATCTGAAAGCAGAAGAACCGAGAAGAGAAGCGACGATACGGTAAGACGAACTAGTAGCTATGACATTACAAGCGCATGCAATATAATATACGATACGATAATAAACAATCATCCTGGCGAAGGACCGAACCATAAGCAATTGTGGGTACCGCAATTGTGAATCTATTTGTCGGTGAAGTTCCCATATGGGGCCACGAAACGCTGCACTGGGTGGGGGGGAACGCATGCGGGCGGTAGCAATGGGGCCGTCGGTGGAGCTTCCTATGGGGCCACGAAACGCTGTACTGGGTGTGTGAAAATGCCAAATTGGGTGTGTGGGACGCATGCGGACCGTCCCACTGGAGGATTCGGTGGAGCTGCCTATGGGGCCACGAAGCGCTGTACTGGGTGGGTGAAAATACCAACTTGGGTGTGCGGGACGCATGCGGGGAGCTCCACGGGGCCACGAAACGCTGCACTGGGTTGGCGAAAAAGCAAAATTGGGTGTGCGGGGCGCATGCGGACGGTCTCACTGGGGGCTTCGGTGGAGCTTCCTATGGGACCACGAAGCGCTGTATTGCGATAGTGAAAATGCCAAGTTGAGTGTGTGGGACACATGTGGGCGTTCCCACTAGGGGCTTCGGTGGAGCTCCCTCTTGGGGCCACGAAGCGCTGTACTGGGCATGTGAACATGTCAAATTGCGCGTGCGGGACGCATGCGGGCGGTCCCACTGGGGGGTTCGATGGGGCTCCCTATGGGGCCACAAAACGCTGCACTGGGTGTGGCGGGCGCATGTGGCCACCCCCAGTGGGGCCGCAGATGGAGCCCCCTATGGGTCCATGAAGCGCTGTGCTGGGTGTGGCGGACGCACGTTGCCACCCCCACTGGGGCCTTGCGTGGAGCTCCATATGTGGCCACGAAACGCTGCACTGGGTGTGGCGGACGCATGTGGCCACACCCACCGGGCCCTTAGGTGGACTTCCCTATGGGGCCATGAAGCGCTGTGCTGGGTGTGGCGGACGCATGTGGCCACCCCTACTGGGGCCTTAGGAGTTCCCTATGGGGCCACGAAGCGCCGTGCTGGGTGTGGCGGGTGCATGTGGCCACCTCACTGGGGCCTTCGGTGGAGTTCCCTTTGGGGCCACGAAACGCTGCACTGGGTGTGGCGGGCGCATGTGGCCACCCCCACTGGGGCCTGGCGTGGAGCCCCACATGGGTCCAGGAAGCGATGTGCTGGGTGTGGCGGACGCATGTGGCCACCCCCCACTGGGGCCGCAAATGGAGCCCCTCTGGGGCCACGAAGCGCTGTACTGGGTGTGGCGGACGCATGTGGCCACCCCCACTGGGCCCTTAGGTGGGGCTCCCTAGGGGGCCCCGAAGCGCCGTACTGGGTGTGGCAGACGCATGTGGCCACCCCCACTGGGGCCTCCGGAGCTCCCTATGGGGCCCCGAAGTTCTGTACTGGGTGTGGCGGACGCATGTGGCCACCCACACTGCGGCCTTCGGTGGAGCACCCCATGGGGCCACGAAACGCTGTACTGGTGTGGCGGACGCATGTGGCCACCCCCACCGGGGCCTTGGGTCGAGCTCCGTATGGGGCCACGAAGCGCTGTACTGGGTGTGGCGGGCGCATGTGGCCACCCCCTCTGGGGCCTTCTCGTGGGGCTCCATATGGGGCCACGAAGCGCTGTACTGGGTGTGGCGGACGCATGTGGCCACCCCCACTAAGGCCTTGGGTGGGGCTCCCTATGGGGCCACTAAGCGCTGTATTGGGTGTGGCGGGCGCATGTGGCCACCCCCACTGGGGCCTTCTCGTGTGGCTCTATATGGGGCCACGATGTGGCGGACGCACGTGGCCCCACTAAGGCCTTGGGTGGGGCTCCCTATGGGGCCAAGAAGCGCCATACTGGGCGTGGCGGAAGCACGTGGCCACCCCCAACGGTGCCACCGGTGGGGCTCCGTATGGGGACACGAAGCGCTGTACTGGGTGTGGCGGACGCATGTGGCCACCCCCACTGGGGCCTTGGGTGGACTTCCTTGTGGGGCCACGAAGCGCTGTACTGGGTGTGGCGGACGCATGTGGCCACCTCCGCTAAGGCCTTGGGTGGGGTTCCATATGGGGCCACGAAGCGCTGTACTAGGTGTGGCGGACGCATGTGACCACGTCCATTGGGGCCTTAGGTGGAGCTCCCTATGGGGCCCCGAAGCGCCGCACTGGGTGTGGCGGACGCACGTGGCCACCCCCACTGGGGCTTTGGGTGGGGTTCCGTATGGGGCCACGAAGCGCTGTACTGGGTGTGGCGGACGCATGTGGCCACCCCCACTGGGGGCTTCGGTGGAGCTCCCTGTGGGGCCACGAAACGCTGTACTGGGTGTGGCGGACGCATGTGGCCACCCCCCAGTGGGGCCGCAGATGGAGCCCCCTATGGGTCCAGGAAGCGCTGTGCTGGGTGTGGCGGACGCACGTTGCCACCCCCACTGGGGCCTTGCGTGGAGCTCCATATGTGGCCACGAAACGCTGCACTGGGTATGGCGGACGCATGTGGCCACACCCACCGGGCCCTTAGGTGGACTTCCCTATGGGGCCATGAAGCGCTTTGCTGGGTGTGGCGGACGCATGTGGCCACCCCTACTGGGGCCTTAGGAGTTCCCTATGGGGCCATGAAGCGCTGTGCTGGGTGTGGCGGACGCATGTGGCCACCCCCACTGGGGCCTTAGGAGGAGTTCCCTATGGGTCCAGGAAGCGCTGTGCTGGGTGTGGCGGACGCATGTGGTCACCCCTACTGGGGCCTGCGGTGGAGCTCCCTATGGGGCCACGAAGCGCCGTACTGGGTGTGGCGGGTGCATGTGGTACACCCCACTGGGGCCTTCGGTGGAGTTCCCTATGGGGCCACGAAGCGCCGTTTTGGGTGTGGCGGACACATGTGCTACACCCCCACTGGGGCCTTCGGTGGAGTTCTCTATGGGGCCACGAAACGCCGTATTGGGCATGGCGGACGCATGTGGTACACCCCATTGGGGGGGGCGCGGGAGGAGGAGACGCGGGGACCGTTTCTTCAAATCGGAGGCCCCACGCCTTACGATGGTTTGGAATAGGGTAACCACTACAATAGAATAAAAGAGGTCAGGACATATTACACGATACGAGAAGGTACTACAACCGCAGCGGCGAGAAGATATGGGAGGACATCATGATATAATACAATATATAATCATTAAAACTAAGAGAAGATACGAAGTTATACTCAGCGAAGTGCGAAGACAGTATACTGCACGGTCATACAACAGAAGAGAATATGCGACATAAATATACGAGAGGATGGAAATATTCTATTCCATACTTGAATATAAACCTAATCTCGGATAAGGCAAGAGCAGAGAGGATAATATGAATCTGGGAGAAAGAGCATCGGACATGGCACGATAACCACCACAAGTTCCGTCCGATGTCTCTGGGGAGAGCTGAGCGCGCTGTGCAATTCAGCTGGGACCAGATCATCAGATGCAATCGTAAACCCTGCGCTGCGCTTCTGATTCTGGAGCGGCGGGCCTGATCTAGTCAGGAGCTTGCGCAGAGGCTGGGGCCTCGGAGCGACAGGCTGTGCTCTACGGAGCCTCCTTGGCTCCAGAACATATTCTCACGATCTCACATGTATGGGGGGCCGCGGGGGGGCAAACCCCGAATTGATTGCCAAGGCTGACTGATACCTTAACAGCGAGAGGGACCAGCCAAAGCAGCCAACCTGTTCCTGGCGAAGCAAGCCCCCGTACATATGTTTCCCCGCCTCACTGCACTCAAAGGTTGACATTGTTGCTACCACCACAACCAGCACCACCAGCACCACCAGCACCACCACGACCACCACGACCACTACGACCACTACTACCACTACTACTACTACTACTACTACTACTACTACTACTACTACTACTACTACTACTACTACTACTACTACTACTACTACTACTACTACCTACTACTACTACTACTACTACTACTACTACTACTACTACTACTACTGCTACTACTACTACTACTACCAGCACCACCCACCACCACCACTCACCACACCACCACCCCCACCAACACACCACCACCACCACCACCACCACCACCACCACCACTACTACCTACTACTACTACTACTACTACTACTACTACTACTACTACTACGACTACTACTACTACTACTACTACTACTTACTACTACTACTACTACTACTACTACTACTACTACTACTACTACTACTACTACTACTACGCTTACCTACGACCTACGACTACACTACTACTATACTACTACTAATCCCTATACTACTACTACTACTACTACTACCACCACTACTATGACACACTACTACTGCGACTACGACACACTACTACTACCACTGCACGACCACCTACTACTGCACTACTACTACCACTACTACTACACTTATACTACTACTACTACTACTACTACTACTACTACTAACTACTAGACTACTACTACTACTACTACTACGACTACTACGACTACGACTACTACTACTACTACTTACTACTACTACTACTACTACTACGACTACGACTACTACTACTACTACTACTACTACTACTACTACTACTACTACTACTACTACTACTACTACTTACTACGTACTACTACTACTACTACTACTACTACTACTACTACTACTACTACTACTGCTACTACTACTACTACTACTACTACTACTAGTACTACTACTACTACTACTACTACTACTACTACTACTACTACTACTACTACTACTACTACTACTACTACTACTACTACTACTACTACTACTACTACTACTACTACTACTACTA